CATCCTTATCCAACTGCAACTTGATTAATGTAAATGAAAAGCATGTTCAGTGTGCCGAATAAACAAAATTAATCCCAATAAAATATTGATAAATGAGCAATGAATGAGTGAATGGGAATAGCGAAAGACGTGAATTACCGTCAAACGAGCGCAGGCGCAGTTCAGTAATTTTCCCACCATCGCTGTGAAATTCCCACGAAAGGAAAACAACCTTTTCCTTTGGTATTGGTGAAATTATACGGCATAATATACCTAAACATGAAATGAATGTCTAAAACACAATCCATAATAAATGGCACGAAATAAAAACGGGCGCTAACTGGGCCTGGCATCGTTGTAGAGTTACATGCAGTGATTGTTTTGGAACAGGATGATTCGTCATGCAGGTGGAAGCACAGAAAAGTAGATGCCAGTAAGTGTGTGAGTTTTATTATTCCATGAAGTAGCTTGAAAGCTTCAATGAAAAACAGAGAGATGTATAGAATCCTGATTTATTTTTAACTTTTCTTTTACACACAGACTGACGCTGACACATACACGTATCCAGCATTCCACTCAGACGCCTTCTGCTGCCTCGCACAGACATGGGTTCGATCCCTCGTTGGCGGCAGCACTACCCCCGGGCAGGTAAATGACAGTCTAAAGGCTACCCAGGTAGTCATAAAATTAAATAAGACTTTGAGAGGAATTAAGGTATCCCTACAACAGCCGTTTTAAGACTTGATAAATATTAGCATATGAGGGGAACACTTGTTTTCAGTTTTCGGACAAAAAAACAAACAAACAATAAAACGGTTGTCTACGCGATTTTAAATTCATCTCGTTTATTCTTTTGTTACCATGATCATTGTTATTATCACTTTTCAAACATTCATTCTCTGGGAAGTGCATGCTACTAAAAGTATTTGTATTTTTCCATGAGCTTTCTTGTGCCTTTTATTTCAAAGAGGAAAATGTGTTACAAAGTCTGTTTAGTCCTTTCTTTAATGTTGTTTATTTAACATGGTTTAATGTCGTGCTTGAATGCATTGCTGTTATCTGACAAAATCCTCACTAATCGACACTTTTACGTCGGCTGTGAAGTAATCGGCCATCTGGGCGTGCATGCCATCCCCGGTTAAAAGCATGACGTCACACTTACATTCCGACGCCTAAACGTGTTCTTTATGAATAATGGCACCTACTTGCCCATGTAATTAACATATATTTTAAAATTGTCACTATTCGCGCGAGCATACACATGTACGCATAAGCAAGCAATGTGTCAAAAAAAATAATAGTGTGTAGCAAACGTTAACTGTTTTTCATTATTGTGTGTGCATGGATCTGTGTGTGTGTGTGTATGTGTGTGCGCGCGCGGTCATATTTATTCACATAAAATCTGAAACCAAAGCCTCCCTAGTGTTCAATGTTATCGGCGGTAAGAAAGATCACATGCCCTCCAGTAAGTGTTATCTTGTTCAGTTACCAAGTCGGTTAACAAAGTGACAGACATGGTAATATTGCTGGAAAAGCGATATTAAAATCAGTAATATGAATATTAAATCAGTAATAGTAGTGCCATTAACCGTAATATGGTAGTATTGCAAAGGGAAACGATAATGATGAAAACAATAACAAGAGGACTGATATAAGAACATCCATGCAAATCATAGCCTGAATCAGTGTTATGCAAAAAAAAGAAAAAAAAAGAAAAAAAATCCACAAGAAGTGGCTATGGGAGCTTATCTGGTGATAACATGCAGCAAGTTGGAGCGGGGTTGGCAAAACGTGCGAGGAGACTAGCATGTTTGGTTACTGGAAACTCTCACAAAATTAGATTCAATTGTTCTTGAAGTCCTTGGAGGTTTGAGGTAAGTGGCTGTACTAACGGCTTTATCATTTTCATATTTGTTTATTTTCTACCGCAAAGGTCTTCCATCTCTGCCTCGTTCATCATATATATTACAAATAGAATTGAACACAAGGGAGTTGGTTTGGGTTTGTTATGCATTTATGCGAATATATCGAAATCTGGCTAAATCAAAGTAATATTAGATTTCTGTTGCAATTATGGTCGCCACCACGACCACAGTTTTATTAGAAAACGGAAAACGTCTCTCCTTCAGGTGAATTGATTATTTCAAATATATCAAAATCATAATTCCTTTGATGAAGTGATTAAGGAAACTATATATCAAAATTTCTTGTATTTTACTATTGTTATAGTATAACATGAGGTATTTTAAATTCATATTGCAATTCCAATATATATTACAAAGCTTATTAAAAATATATTCATTCGAAAATTCATCACCGGAAAGTCCTTAATAATCCCATAGGCGCAAGAGGCAGCCCCGCGCACCAAAACAGTCACAAACGGCACGTAGACCACGGCTGCGTTCCCAGGTCAGGCCAGAATAGCGTCCAACGGAAGAGTGAGGCTGACCTGGGCTCGACCCTCACAGTCACTCGCTGCGGGTGCATGCTCAGCGTCACCTGATCACTCACTGTACGGTGT